AGGGGCCCCGCGTCCCTGCGCCCGCTCGGCCCCGCATACGCCTGGAGGGGTGTCGCCGGGCCTGGAAGACGCGGCGGACGGCGTCGGAGGTCGGTGCGCCGGCGTTGGGGCCCTCGCGGAGGAGGGCGGTCGTGCGGGGTAACCGGGCCCAGGCCTGCTTCACCCCAGTTCCCCCAGCACACGAAAACTGGGAGGTTTAGTCACGGCGAGGGTAGGGCAAACTCGCCCCCTCCCCATCCGCCCCTCGAAACTTTCGCGAAGTCATCCCGGGTAAGACGGGCGGCCCCTCCCTCACGCCCCCACCCTGGGAGTGCTCGAGGGTCACCCCTGGGTGGAAACTAGTGTTACCGGGCAGGAGGAAAGCCCCCGTTTGTAGGGGGGCAATACCTGGGCTTACCCGAGTGCCCACCGACTCGGGTGCGCTAGGAGGTCCGCTTCTCTCCCCATGCAGCCCCAGGTTCCAAGGGGACAAAGGCCAGTGGTCCTGAACTAACTCTGGCGGGGCTGGGGAAGGCCAGGAAGCCTGAAGTCCACCCGGAGCTGCTTCTGGTGGCTGATGTGGGGCGCTTTCCTCCCCCCCGACCCCAGTAAACACACCCGCCTTTCCCCTCCAGGAAGAGCCCCTCTGACCTTTGGATGTACAGTCAGGGTGGGAAGGGGAGAGGCCCTGGGGAGCTGATGATCCCTCCGAGGGCCGGGCACAGGGCAGAGGGTCAGACAGTTTGGGAAAGGGCTTTCAGGTGTGGCAGCTAGCTCGTACCTTGGGTTCGAAGGCCAGCAGGTAAAATAAGTAAAATATCAGGGAGGCCTGCTCAGGCTGGTGTGTATAAGTGTGCATGACCACTCTAGCACCCCAAACTCTCAGGCCGCCCTGCCCTCACCCTTGCGCCTAGAGAGGAGCCCTCCAAGGAGCACTGGGCCGAAGCCAGCATCTGGAGGGCTTCCACCTCAGGGAGGAGACTTGGGCCTGGTCTTGTTCAGGACTACTTAGCGGGTACCGGGTGGAGCTGGCCTGAGCCGCTGTCCTCCAGGGCCAGACTGGTCTTTGGTGGTGAGATGAGAAAGCCAGGGTCCAGACACAGGTGGGGAGCAGACTCTTGTCGGGGTGTTGAGGGAACCACAAGTGACTTGCTCCCAGGAGGGTGTCCAAGTTCCAGGGTCTTGGTTTTCCCTGTGAGTGTGTATGTGCCACCTGAATGAGTCTGCCCAGAGCGGCTCCCTCTTCAGGCTTTGTCTTCCTTCAGAAATCAGTCTTTTTTGGGGTATATTCAGTGTGCATCCCCTGGAGGGCTGGCCATGGAATGCCAACTCTCAGCCTGCCCCCCTCTTCCCTGACCCGTGAGTGTGGCTGCCTGTCCCTCCCCCTCCCCAAGATTGCGAGGGGACGTTCAGGGTGAGTCACACTCCAGTGGCCCCCTCACTCAGACAGCCACTTGGAAGCATGGCTGTGGAAATCTACCCTTGGTGTAACTGTTATGACTCAAAAACTGCGTGTTTTATTTGTAATCTCTGTGAAGCAATGCTGGGGCCATGTCCTCGCTTTGGTTAGAGCCCACATGGTTCTTATGTCTTCTGAGGCATGACCTTTTAACAGCTTTGGCACAAATGTAACTTCCTCACTTCTCAGTAGGTTCCTAACAGGCCCTTGCTTGTATTATTGGAGAAGAACCCTCCTGGAGTCAGGCTGGTGTCTTTGGCAGAGAAAACAGGATTTACTGAGAAAATACAAGCATAGGGCACCTGGGTGGCTCAGTCGGTTGAGCGTCTGCCTTCGGCTCAGGTCATGGTCCCAGGGTCCTGGGATCGAGCCCCGCATCGGGCTCCCTGCACAGTGGGAAGCCTGCTTCTCCCTCTCCCCCCCCCCCTGCTTGTGTTCCCTCTCTCGCTGTGTCTCTCTCTGT